AATAATACAAACTTATGGCACAAATTAAAACTGTCTTGTTCGTAAGTTAGCAGAAAACGGCGCGGAGGGTATACACTTCAGAAAGACAGGCGGGAATTGAAGGTTTAGCGGCACCAGCCCCCAAATGGCTCTAACTTAACTGAGTGGACTGGTACTTATGGACTTGTGGGAACTCTAGGCACTCGTCATAATAAATTAAAGAACATCGTTGCAAATTGGGATTATTATAGTGGAAATAGTTTATAAATAATATCTATTATTCCGGAGAGAAACGCGATTTCAGATTATTATAAAGAAGAACTCGCGGAACGTTCTAAATTAATCAATGGCGCAAGACAGGATAAAATTAAAAAGTTGGAATATGTACTAAATTAATCATAATTTAACATGTTGACAAAAATAGGTACAAGTTGTCTAAGATCTAAAAATATTTAATGACGTGCAAAACCCCATAATTAATTAATTCAATTTATTGGTTGAACATGGAAAATTGAAACTGAAAAAACGTTCGCTACACTAGAAAAACTTTTATTGAAGCATTGAAGCAATAGGTACATGTTGTCTAAGACCTAAAAACATTTAATACCTAGCAAAACCTACAATTAATTAATTCAATTTATTGGTGGAACATGGAAAATTGATACTGAAAAAACGTTGGCTACACTAGAAAAACTTTAATTGAAGCATTTCAATAGTTAGCAAATAATATTACTTAAATTCTACATATTTTATTAGTACTGAGGTGGTGTTTTTTATGCCTAATGTCTAGTTTTTTAAATATCGTCCTATCAATTTCCTTTTTCTTTTGTTTCAATAAAAAACCATTTTTCTAGAACTTTAAAACTGTTCACCAAACCTAATTTAAGCAGGCTTTGAGAATTGTTAATGAAATGAGACTCCAAGAATAGTTTACTAGCCGTTCAATTTGAACGTTGGAACAGTGGAATTAGCAAAGGTCTTTGAAGCAAATTTGAAAGGGACAATACAATATCTGTGAAATTTCCGTTTGCAGGACTTCATCCCGTTTACACTCGAATTACCCATACCGTCTTTACCGAGAACCGGCTTCAATATGTCGTAAAAGTATGTAATTATTTCGCGAAAGCGCGAAATTCTTAAAACTTTTGGTTAATGTGTGATGATTGGTTAATCGATAATTATTCAGAAATCGTGAGATGAGGTCTGGTGTGAGGTAGGTTTCAGACGTTTCGAAACGTTGGCACGATAAAGAAAATGTTTTTCTGAAACCTACCTCACACCAGACCGCATCTCACGATTTCTGAATAATCATTTTGTTAATGTTAAAAATCAGATAATTACTTAATACAATATTTGCTGTTGTAAATATGAAATAACTAAATACAATATTTGCTGTTGTAAATATGAAATAAATAAAAAATATTAATTATTTTCTTTTGTCTAGAGCATTTTGTGTTCAATTTTTCTGTTGATAAAATTTTTGTTAAAAAGCAAGCTTATTAAATATCACATTTCAATAAAATCCAAGGCAGTATAGGTAACAGCGTGAGAGTAACTAGACAATCTCCGATTTGACAAGAAGAAACATGCAAGAAGATAAAGAAGAAGAAGAAAAAGACCCAAGCAGAAATTCGAATTATCATCTATTTATTATTTATTATTGTTTTTATTTGTATTATTTTATATTTTAATTTTTTAATTTTTTTTAATTTTTATTATATGTTATAATATATTTATTCCTATTACAATTATTTATCAATAGACTGTTGTATTGACTTTCATGTCATTTCACTGTAGGTTTTTAGTTCATTTTAAATATTTTGCTTATGGCCTGTTTCAATTGTACGTATAAAAAACTTGTTAATTTATTCAGAAAACGAATTATAACCACGTTTTACCAAAGTATCAAGAATCTATTGTAAATCACTTATATTCGTATGTTTTCTTAGATTCGAGCCTCTCCTAGGGTAAGATACAATAATTAAATTTCAATTATCTTGTTGAAAGGATACGACGCTAAGTCGCTATCGTTTCAAATTGATTGATCAATTTCCGTTACAGGATCTTTCGTCTCGATGGATTTTCTCAATCAACGCGTCAGAACGCATTAATTCTGACGAGACGCCAGAGGTCTTGCAGATATAGTGATGCTAAATTTATTCAGACACTTTCAGACACTTTGTCTCGTTTCAATGGAGCAAATATGAATTATTTATGAGATGGAATTGTCAAAAATATTTTAAAAGCTACGAGCATTGCAAGCCCAAGTTGGACATTATTTAGAAAATATATACTTGTTTCTGTTGTTATATGATTAATTATATTGCGTTATTTTTCTTAATTATAACTTCTTTAGCAATAATAGCTAAGAAAACCGTTTGCACTATTTAAAATTTAATGCACGTATACATTGTATAATTGAATTTATCTTTCATGGTCATTAAAATGCCATTTATTAATCAAGCAATTTTCCAGGAAAGCAAATATAAATTTTCAGAAACATAAATACAAATAAGAGAAAAATACAGGTTAAATTTTTAAAACAAGCTTTATTATTTAGATGGGATCGTTAAAAAATCCAAAAATGGTGGGAGATTTTGTGAAGATTTAATCTTTGTCAGAACTTCTGTTGTCTGTTAAAGGTACATGATTTAATTCAGTCACCTTTGAAAAAGCAAATTAAACTGAAATTTAATTATCAAAAGAGCTCTTAATTTCCTCTCGTAATTTCGACATTGTTATGTACCATTTTAACCATATGAGAATTACATATAAAGATGGTTTAACATGTATCATAACGATTTTGAAATTTTGTTATTTGAATGTTAGCTGGAACAAACTTTGCAAAACGAAATTATGTTTTACGATATTGATGATTTTTAAGCAGTTAATAAAAAATCACAAAACTGTTTACAAGAAATGTTAATGTTTAGATATTTTCTACCTCCTTATTCAAGGAATGACTTTTTGGCATACTAGTACACAAAAATGGAAAATTTATAAATATAAAGATTATAATGAAACGCAACTTATCGTGACGACTCAACTAGAGATGTAGGTCGTGATGAGATCTGACAGTGTAAAACTCAATAATAATAAAAAAAGCAATTCATTACTGAAGTCTATAAATATAGGATTTGGAATAATTTATTATTATTTTGATCAAATGAATAAAATCATGCATTGGCTGTTTTCAGGTTTGAATTTCCAATAGAAATTCCTCATAATTAGCGTAATAATACGTATGTGATTAAAAAGGTTTGACCTTTTGCAATAATGAACTTGCATCTGTTAATAGTATTAAACGAAATAAACAAAATATTAACTTATTTTCTAATATTTAATTCCGTAAAACAAAAAAGTATGCAAATAAATGCTAGGTGGAATAAATGATGGTTGGATCCTAAAAATCTGAATAATTAAAACACGAGGCGTTTATGTCCCATAAAAAATTAAAGAGACAAGATTAGACATTTTGCTTTTACATCTGAAATTAAATAGAAACATTTCTTGAATAATTTGAAAAATTTTGGGCATATCGCGGTGTTTAGAAACTTAGGATCGTTTAAATTTAGATGATAAATAACACCGATAAATCATTTTGTTTCCAAAAATCAGGAATAAGGCTAATTGACAAACAAACTACATGTTTTCAAGGAATGTATCCTTCTCATCGGGAGTGAAAAACAATCAATAATAATTCAAGAGGTTATGCAATATAAAAAATCTCACTTAAAATGTTGAAACTTATGGTTTCAAACATAGTGAATTTCCCCGTGGTCTATTTTTATTCTTTGAAACTGTTCTCATCTCTTGTCTTTTAGTACAACATTATAATGATCGCTGTCGTAAATATTCTCAAGATAATTTGATATCAATAGTTTTTTAACGAAGAGTTGTCAATAAATTGCAATCAATTAAAGATAGATCAAACTTCGTGCTTTAAAATCCAAAAGCTATCAAAAAGTGATGCAACTTGGCAACTTTGAACTTGTTTATAAGGACTTAATCAACATTTACAATCTTGAAAGTTCAATTTTGAATTTTTTGGTGTGTTACGTAATTCAAGAACCACCTGTAATTTCGTTAGCAATTGAACAATACGGTGTAATTAAAACCGAATAATTTTATATAAAATTACATTACTTAATCACATATCAAACACGAATAAATTTATTTCATTGGTTCAAATATTATTTATTAAAAATTGTATTTCCTGGAACAGAAATGTTCAATTTTCTGAATAAGAGTTTTAAGTGACAACACGATAAACCTAATCTTTACACTTCAATCGTCAAACATAAAAACATATTTTTTTCCCTAATTTTCCGGAGTCATGCGTTTGTCTGTTGCTATTACGCTTTCAAAGAAAATACAATTTTTTTGAAATGTTTTTTTAATGGTCAAGAATAATAGTTTTTACGATTCATATTTTATGACACGGTGGGTCAAAATGGTTCAGGTAAATGTTGGAAAGTTGCGCAGCGGGTGGTATCACCGCGGTTCGGCATCTAGCCAAAACAATCAGTTTCAAGTGGCAAAAGTTTCTTTTTTATAATAATTATACAGGATTGCTGGCAGTTTTGATATTACGTTTGGTTTGGCTGGGATGTCTCTTGCGGTACGAAACCGAAGGGGGGAAAGGAGGGAATGAAAACCACCCCGGTAATCATGTCAACAGAACGAGGTCAATTCAAATCGCAGCTGAGCTGGAAAAGAACTGTTTTCCCCAATGATTTCAAAACAAATCAGTAAGTTTTGTTGTTGTTTACGTCCTTTTCGCAATAGATGCTACAAATATTCAAATTATTTTTAGGCAATGTTCAATGTCACACGCAATTTATTCCCGATGTTTTTTTTTTCTTACACAATAGTCGTTTTAAAAATAATTAACGGTCTCAAAACCCTCACATAACAGGCAATAAATTCAGGTGCAAAAAATTAAACAAAAAGTGCAATATTTAAAAATTAAAAAAAAAATTAGAAAAAATTCTAAAAATATGTATTTAAATATTAAAAACCTGTATGTCTATATATTAATGTTATTTTATTAATTTGACGATTAGGCTCCGAGAGGTGCTTGCTGTGTCTTGAGGTACACTGGTTACTGTTTACTGGACCTGGTATTGATCAGTCGCATGAGGCCAAGAAGCATGCGCCCACGGCTTTGCACGTGCTGCTCTCAAATACGAGTTCGCGCCATCAAGTAGCATTGTTGATTTTTTAAACAATACATTGTAAATAAGATACGATTGACAAAAGAAACAAACGTGAATTGAGTCTGGGTCCCATTTCCTGAACTGCAAATAGTGGAGATCATGTCGTACTAAGAAGTTAAGATGTAATCATTTGGGATTATTTTGTAACAACCCGTCTTTGTTAAAACTTTAACCTACTATTGTTTTATCTAAGTTGAACGGATTACAAAATAATAATCTACGTAAAAGATTTGGTATGTAAAACTAACAAATTTTAATGAACTGATCTTTTTCAAATGTCACAAATTATCCGCTTGGAATTTTATGACGAAAACCTAATATGTACAAAAAAACGAAAAAAGTGTAATTAAATATTATTATACATTAAATCATGACTTTGCGAGCGAATTATGTCCATATAACATTTAGTCTTTTCGTGTTACGAATAATATAGTTTATCTTAGGCATAAAAACTTTTGGACCATCAACTCCTGACTGACCAATCACACAGAAAAATTTCACATAACGTGATCTGTTAAAAAAGGTACGTATTGTATTTTACTGACATTTATATACTGGTATGGTAGTATATATTATTTCACATTTTAAATGTTTTAACGTTGTTTAGTTAATTATTTTATTGAGCTGTGTTTTTGTTAAGGAAGTGGAAGAGAAAGCTTGTTTTTTGTATTTTGTTTGTAGATTTTGTATTTTTGTTGTAGATTCAAACAAAAACAATTTGTATAAAATTGTGAATAATCCATGAACATATGGTAGGACCTATTATTCAATATTTATGGCGAATAGTGGCAACTAGGTTATTAAAAGCAAGATATTACAGAAAATGTCATTTTTTGAAGATTTCACATTCTTTAGCTGTTTTATAAGATGTTTCTAAATTTTGAATATATTGAAGTTTAAATTATTATTCAAATTCAGTCATTGTTTGAATACATTCAGGAAATATACTTTAAACAAGTTTTATTTCATTCCCATGGAAACCAATATATCAAAATAATAAAAATATAAAATAATATGAAATATGTGAGTAGGAAAAGAGGGACTGAAAGGGAGAGAAATAAAGGGAGAAAGATAAAGAAAGAGGGAGGGAGAGAAAGTGAAAGGATGAGGGTGAGGGAGAGAAAGGGAGAAAGAGAAAGGGCGAGAGAGAGAGAGAGAGAGAGAGAGAGAGAGAGAGAGAGAGAAAGGGAGAGAGAGGGTGAGAGGGAGAGGGTGAAGAAGAAAAAGAAAAGTAGAGAGAGAGAGATTATTCAATATTTATGGCGAATAGAGACAACTAGGTTATTAAAAAGGAAGATATTACAGAAAATGTTATTTTTTGAAAATTTCACATACTTTAGCTGTTTTATAAGATGTTTCTAAATTTTGAATATATTCAAGTTATATTATTATTCAAATTCAGTCATTCTTTGAGTACATTCAGGAAATATATTTTTAAAAAGTTTTATTTTATTCCCATGGAAACCAATATATCAAAATAAGAAAAATATGAAATATTATGAAACATGTGAGTAGGGAAATGGAACTTTGCACTGAATCGCCTACAGTGAACATTATTTCCTGTCAAACTATGATTAATTTACTAAGAAAACTATTAATCACGAAACATTACTGTCGGTTATATGCCCAATCTGTTTATTGAGCAGCGTTTCTTATCGAGCAGCTTTCGAATTATTTTACAAAGCTTGCAAAGTTCCATTATCATAATTGATTTAATAATTTTGAATCATGAATTACTGTCAGAATTTTTTTAAAGAAAAGCTTAATCTTGGTAATTTAATTTTATTAAAATAAATTATTATTATGCACTATATACGTGCGAAGCTCCTGTTATATTCTTCTTAGAAATATAAATATTTAATATCGATTTGTTTAACAACAATAATCATTTTTTGACCAATAATTATTGGTTGAATCTGTGTTTGAAGTAATCGAAATATTTTCAATTTTAATGAAAAAAATTTAATTTTATCTCAACTAAAAACCTTAATTAATTGTAATTTAATGAAACCGTTAGTGGGTTATATTAGTAATAAAACAAATAATTCATATAAGAGTGAAAAAAACATTAAAGGAGCACCAACTGAATTAAGTCCTACTTTATTACATTACGGGATAAGACCCGCTTTGACATGAGAAAAAACCAGTAGATACTCCTTTTTTCTGTGTTTTGTCCGCAAGCCATTCAATTTCATCTTGTTTACTATACGCAAACATTTACTTTTATTTAACTCTTTAAAATAATAAATTACAAACCGGAAAACACATGGGTAATCCTGAAAAAGGTCAAAAAGGTTAATTCCATCAGGGAAAACCTCCACCCTATTTTTCAATTACCACTGTGTTTACTGATGTATATTCTATACTAACGTGATTTTTGATTAAATTTTTCAATAACAGAAAGTAAAATTTCCTGTTAAATTAATAATAAAATCACAAAAATAGTGTTTCGGTTGTATTGTTAATAGAAAAATAAAAGTAATTAAATGGTTATAAATGTCAAGGACACGTTGTTTACTAGCCATCTCACGCTAATACAGACATATGAATATAATTTAAATCGACCATTGACACAGCATAAAAGAGCATAAAAGCCCCTGATTATATCCAAAAACAAAAATGGGTACCAAGAAATCCGTTGACCTCATCGAATCCTGACAGGACACTACAGACTGAAGAAGATTCGTATAATCCCATCCCGTCACCTGCACATTTTGTAAACAAGCAGAGAAGACACCAACACAATTACTGGTGGCGCACATTTGTCCCAGGAGGAAGAGTTTTGGGATGTACAACGTTACCATAGAAGAAATTCAAGCACTAAACCGGGCCTACTAATCAAGTTCCTCGATGAACTAGGATTCAGCAGTGTGCTACAGAACGGGGGATACAATATCTCTTAAAGGGCGCAGTATACTACACATACTAAATGATACATCTAAATCTAGTTACGTGTTTTTCTTCTGTGTTAACATTTTTCACTCTTCTTCTGATGTAATGGAGTTCAACTCAATCTGATTCATTGTCTTACCTTCATTTACCAATCTCTCTTTATCATATTTTTTCCTCCTTCATTCTTACACACAGACACACACACACACACACAAACACACACACACACACACACACACACACACACACACACACACACACACACACACACACACACACACACTGCCCTGCTTTCCCTACCCACTTAGGCTCTCCCACTTTGGTATGAAGGTCTTAAATGAAAGTATAATACGAAAGCTATCTTCAGAGTGCAGAGACTGTTTTTGCTTAGAATATCGCCTTGAGCACGAATTCATGCAATATACAAGAGGATAAAGCGGGAAAGATTAATTCAATGTATTCTGGAATTTTCACCAGTTATATTAAAAAAAGGAAACAAATAAAAAGGTATTAATGAATAATAATGTCACGCCTCTAATCGCCAGTACCGATGGGCAGGGACGGGGGCGGATTATCTTTTCCGTCTCTTATGATCAGAGCGGGGGATGGTGCTGTCCAGACGATTTTAATTAGAAATTTTCTTTCAAGGTGAGTCAAGGCTCCCCCTTAGTTATTCAAGGTTTTTTTTATTTGTCCCAGAAAACGTATTTTGTTTCTTTAAAATTTGAAGTTGAAATTTTATTTGTAAATACATTTTGAGTTGAGATTTTGTTTTGTTATTTTTTTTAAATTTAAAACTGGCGAAAGAGCCGGACCATAAATTTTTGGTACACCTTTTGAGGTCAAGCAAATACCCAAAGGGGTTACATGGTAGCAGAGCGAACAAATAGCGCTTAAACTTTGCTGTTGATTATAACTAAAATTTTAACTTATTAAAGTAAGATCTTTTAATTTTTTTTCTCTAAGGAACAGGAAAGATGTCTGATCCAGTTCAGTGTTTAACATGTGCCAAGTTTGTGCAAAAAGATGAAGGGTGCGTTTGTAATAAATGTGAAGGGTCTTTTCATTTTAAGTGCACACGTTTAGCTTCACGGGAGACATACGTAAAAATGAGTTTCGAACGAAGGGAGAGATGGAAGTGTGACAATTGCTCCGGTAACACCGACCCCATAGCTATAAAAACTATTAACAATGACATAGTAACATTGAAACACGAAAATACACAATTAAAAAAGCAGACAGAGGCCTTAAATAATAAACTGGACCAAATTTTGACATTGTTAGGAACGCTGACTTTCAACAAATCTACAATAGAAAGTACAGACATACAAGAAAACACAACAAAATTGGATACCATCACAAAAATAAATAATACCGTTCATTCGGACGACGAAACAAATAAACTCCCCGAGACTCTTAAAGAAAAAATTCTCAGATCAGCTGATTCAGATAATTCTGTGACTACAAAATGGAATGTTAGTGTAATTTAATTGATATGTAAATATTAAAGAAGTTTCTAAATTCAATGAGATGACCTCCCATTATGGAGATTAGATCTAAAGTATGGAAACCGTTTTTTTTCTCTCTCTCAAGCTAACACTCGGCGAGTGTAAAGCAATGTTAATGATGATATGATGATATACTTATACCTTTGACAATTATAAAGATAGAAAGTGTACAATTTATGAAATAAAAAAAAAGTATGCATTCTTTATATACTAGTTAATTTAACTATTAAAAGTTTGTTGATTAGTTTTAGTTCTTGGTTGTTTTTGGTAAAAGAAGAAGATTGTATTTGTTTTAGTGCCTTTTATGTTATACCATAAAATACCGTTTTTATGAGTGATAAAAAGGTTGATTACTTCTACACAGAGAAGTAAGGTATTTTTACGTATTTATTTACAATATAGAAGCACATATGCTATTTAATATTGTATTATCAGTGCCCTAAAATGTATGTTTCATTGTTTTTGTAATTAAGGCACTGAGGATGAACTCGATGTACAGATCATTACATTAGTATAATTATCAAAGGATTCCGCACTGTCTCATACCAA